AGAGTCTCTGGAGGAGTAATCGAGGCTAAAAATCTGCATGGTGGAGCTTGATTGGAGCAAGTGGGCAGTCCAATCGACATTTGGGATCGTGAAGTATGGTGGTGTGACCCCAGAAATCCCGGTGAATCTCGGCCGCCGCTCTTGATCGTTGGTTCTGAGCTTCTGGCCGGGGAGACGCATTTATGGCCTGGATAACCAATATCTCAGGCTGTCAGAATTCTTGTGAGAATGTCCACGTCTAATCATTATGATCCTCATCACCAAATCCTGACTTCAATCACTTCCCACCTTCCCTCATGCATTAAATGCTTCTTTGTGGCCAGTGGGTTTGCTGCATTAAACAGGCACTACTTCATTAAATGAAGCCTGGGACCCTGCTGTCACGTGATGATTTGCCTTTAAAGCCTTGGCCGTGATTTTGTTCGGCCTCGGCCTCGGCCTGCGCTTGAGGCCGAGATGATCATGCCTTAGCATTTCTTCTTTTGTCTTTAGGAAGGCGAAGTACCCTGGCGAAACGCTACGTTTCAGTTTTTACGAACAAGTGCCAGGGCCTAGAGAAGGGGCTCCTTCGGCCAGCTTATGGCCGTGATTTATCAGGCACAAACAAACTGATGACTATCAGGTTTGGAAAATGCATGATCGAGCATTGATGCAGTTGCATATTGCTACTCTCTCTTCTACTGCGATTTCCTATGTCATTGGATGTGTCAGTTCTCATGATATGTGGGTTCAACTAAAGGATCGATTTTCTACAGTTACCAAAGCACGAATCTTTCAGATGAAAAGTGAGCTTCAGACTATCAAGAAGGGTTCAGAACCTGTGTCTGCATATCTGCAAAGGATAAAAGATGCTCGAGACCATCTTTCTGCAGCAGGGGTTTATTTTGAAGATGATGATATTGTGATCTTGGCTCTCAATGGTCTTCCTTCTGACTACAACACATTTAGGTGTATGGTTCGAGGCAGAGACAATGTTTTATCTCTTAAAGATTTTCGGTCTCAATTGCTTGCTGAAGAAGCCACTCTTGAGCAGACTTATTCTGCTTCTCCATTTGTCTCTGCAATGATGGCTCAAAATCAGACATTTCAAGGCAAAGCTCTTGTTCTTGATGAAGGTAATTCTAATTCTCAGACTCAAGGGTATCCTTCTAGCTCCAAGTCTGCTCCATCTTCTCAATTTTCCTCTTGCTTCAGTGGGGGTTTTAATGGTAATCATGCTGGTTTCCATGGTTCCACTGGTGGTTTCAATGGTCCCAATACAATGTTCAACAATGGTGGTTATTCTAGCAATCGAGGCTCTCATTTTCAACCCACTGGCCGTGGCCGAGGTCGTGGTTCTTACCAATCTGGTCCACACCCTTATCAAGTTCAACCCACTTCTAGTCCTGGCATTCTTGGTCCTGGAACTGACATTCCTACTTGTCAAATCTGTAGCAAGAAAGGTCATGTAGCTGCTGATTGTTATCAACGACACAATCAACCTTCTACTCCTACCTCTTCAGTCCAATGTCAGATTTGTTGGAAATTTGGGCATTCTGCTATTCAATGTTATCATAGAGGCAACTTCTCTTATCAAGGCAAACCTCCTTCCACCAATCTTAGTGCCATGCATGCAAACTTTCCTTCTTCTACACCTCATGAGCAATTTTGGGTGGCTGATCCTGGTGCAACAACTCATATGACCTCTGATTTGGCTCAACTCAGCTTGGCTACTCCTTTCTCAGGATCTAATACTATTACCACTGCAGGGGGTTCAGGTTTGAGCATTTCTAGTATTGGCTCTTCCATTTTGAAAGTTCCACAATGCTCTTTACAATTAAAACAAGTTTTGCATGTGCCTAAGCTGTCCCAACATTTGCTATCAGTTCATAGGTTATGTAAAGATAACAATTGCAGATTTATTTGTGATGCATTTGGTTTTTGGATTCAGGACAAGATCATGGGCAGTGGCGAATCTACAGAGGCGCAAGGAGGTGCAGCTGCACCTCCCCTCGCCGGAAAAGCCATTGTAGATGAAGAAATATGCCCCACCGCAGCTCCACTAGTGCGTCCACCATGTGCTTGATGTATTGCCCCAGCGCTTGTTGCGCAGCGCTGTGCAACAGGCTGTGCCTGTTTGTTTTTAAAATTTCCTGGCCAAAACGAGCGTTTTGGACCAGGCTGAAATAAAAAATAAAAGAAAGGAAACATGCACGGCGAAGAAACTAAACCAGGCTTCTTGGTTTTAGTTTGACTTCTGTTGAAAGTCTTTTATATTATATATTCTCTAACCAAAATCAATATGATGTTGTCTAAGTGGTTGATCAATATGCTGTTGACTACTCGTTTCTTTTTTCTTCTTCTCGTTTTTTTTTATAAAAAATTTCTGTTAAATTAAATTAAATTTTTTTTCTTTTCTTATTTGGCTCCCTCTATAATCGTAAGATCAATAGCAAATTCGAGAAGAAAGTGACTACGCGAATAACTCAAGGAAGAATAAGTTATGATTGTTTGTTTAATTGATAATTTGATATGCATTTTTTTTGGATTAATTGATCTTGATTTTGATTATATTAATTGACGATTTGATATGAATTTTGGTAGAGTAATTGTTTAACTGACATGAATTTATATACTATATAAACAATGATCAATTAGTCTGTTAAACATTGCCCCTTCCTTGAAAAATTCCTGGATCCGCCAGTGGATCCCATGAGGAACTATCGGCTTCCTATGAGTTCTAATTTGAGCACGTAAGGAACACTAATTTAACACACCACACATGCACAAATTCAGAATGGAAACTAAAAATGAAGAAAGAAAAGTAAGAGACATGAAACAACACAAGAAACCAAAGAAAAATACAAACAGCACTTTCTATCACCCTTTTATCACCATTTGGACAAATTCGTTTCTTTGTTTTTCAGCTTCGACCTCTGTTCAGTGTTTAGCCTATAACTTTCCAACCATTTGTCCAACTTTCACGTTCTTTATATGGTTGGATTCAGCACACAAAAATGAAGAATACAACGTGGATCAAAATCCAAAACCAAGTACAAAAACAGACAAAAAACGATGACAAAAACACACCACGTTTCAAACAATGTAAATTTAAACACACAAATACAATTTTTGGGGGGGCGGGGGGGAGGGGTTTGTTGATTTGAGTGACCTATTTCTAATGCATGAAAGTAAATGAACCTTAAATTTAAATGTGAAAGGCAAAGATGAATTATCAAAGTGTGAAATTAAAATGTAACAAACACTAGGGTTTTGGAATCCACCCTAAACAATTCTACCAATGTTCATGAATACTCAAGTGATGAACTCTAAACATATTGATGAAGATGTTCGCAATCAAGACCGGGATTAGTGGCTCAAGACGCATTGATTCTCTCTAATATACGTAGAGTGCAGGGTTCGTGCTACAATACTTGTGCCTTCCCTATAACCAAATCTAGGTATGGTTCGTACTTCGATTCAATTACAAGAAAAACCCATTAAGTTCAAAGAGAATATGAACATCACAAAAACCCTAAAGCATGATGTTTACATTAGGTATTCAAGAAACCAATTCACATATGATTCTTACTTCATCCATTTATTGCTTAGGACAATATGAAGATACACATAATCCCAACAATCTCAAGAAGCATGCTTTCAAAGAT